ATTGGACATTATAGAACCTTAATGCACATCATTTTGTTTTTCAGATAAGATTCAAAATGGCCGACTAGTGGCCATTTTGTTTTAATGAATGTGGTTCTAGTGCCATATCTCTGACATGCTTTGACTTATTTTGTTCAAATGTCAAATATTCATTTAATAAACATCATGTCATAGATATTCAGATATATTGGTTTGACGATCCTATTAAAAATGGCCGAATGGTGGCCATTTTTGTGCTAAAACATCATCAAATATCAAGCATTTCTGGCATTTATGGATGGATTTCGTTACGGGTTCCTGATGCACGTCATGTTATTTTTCAGATTGAATTCAAAATGGCCTATTGAATAGGCTTCTTGAACCATATCTCTGACATGCTTTGGGCTGATTATGTTAAAATTTGTTATATTCATTATACATCACGTTATAGATACATGTATTCAAAATGGCTGATTTTGTTTTAATTAATGCTGTTCAAGAGCAATATCTCTCAATGTGGACAAGTACTCATTTGACGATCAGATGCAAATGTCAATCATTTTAAACAATCATCATAATCATATTCATGACATTATATTCCAGCTATATTAATATAAACAAAACTATATATCTCAAATTCGATAACTAACAGGGACTGTGCCATGCATGGCTTGTTTGTTTAATTTTTCAAATAGCCATTTGGGTAGCATCCCAACAAAATTTAAGTTTTTTGATTAGCTATAATGATCCATCGAAGTTGGATTTAATGTGTTTTCATGTCTTAAACCATTTTGAAATTTCTGATTTATTTGTAGATTAATCTTATCTTTTTAATAATGGCTGGTGTAATCATGTGCCGACATACAGTATCCCCAGCCAATAGGAACAATGATAAAATAAACAAGTTAAGGTAAGATCCAGTCCAATCTGAACCTAATATATTGACACATCTCGTGCTGAAAGCCTTCAGGAATAATAATATTTTTTATTTGTTTATTGAATATTATCTGGACCAAATCTTTATAATTCACACTGTCGAACATTTATGAATGCTGTAAAATATTGTACTAGATCTAGTTCTATATTTGTGAGAAATTGACAATTAAGCTAACAGTCTAGTGTGAAACTATGTTGAGAGATATAATATGGCTAAACCAACAATAGAGACAAAAATGGTTTTTACTCATTTTAAAAGTCACAAATATATGGTATCTCTTACTATGCTTTGTAGAAGTGTATCATCACTTCATTTCCGTACTTCTTCTCCCTGTATATCATCTCTGC